AGAACAAGTTGTGTATGGGCGTGTGTGTGCGTGCGCACGCACATGTACACCTATTACTCACAGGCAATGCCTGGAATAGTAAACTATCAACGGACACCTCCAGGGTACGGAAAAAGGGGACAGAAGAGGAAGAACTTACTTTTCCCTCTGCAGCCTTCTGTAAAATGTTCAGTTGTCAACATGGCATGTGTTACATTTGTATTTTTTTAAATGATTCAACTGTGACTGTTCTTAAAGTCCATCATTTTGTCAGTTAGCACTTTTTTCTAGAAAAGAACCCAAATGCCAATTTTAAACCCAAGGTAACTTAGGTTCTCTGGTATCCACAGAATCAAAGTCATTTTCAAATGCTTTCATAATAACTAAAATACTGAAAAGCACAGTCACAAACTCAGTACATTTTTCTGAGTAGAAGTCATAGTTTTTGTTTTGTTTTGATTTTTTTTTTTTTTTTTAACAAATCTGTAGTTTCCATGGGTTAAGGGTAGGGGAGAGGTTCTGATTTATTTTTTATTTTTTATCTTTTTATTTATTTATTTTGAGAGAGCGAGCGAGAGAGAGCAAGCAGGGTAGGGGCAGAAAGAGAGGGAAAGAGAGAGATCCCAAGCTAACTCCACACTGTCAGCACAGAGCCTAATGCAGGGCTCAAACTCATGAACCATGAGATCATGACCTGAGCCAAAATCAAGAGTCGGACACTTAACCAACTGAGCCACCCAGATGCCTCTATTTTTAATTTTATTCTTTTTAATGTTTTTTTAAAATTTATTTCTGAGATAGATAGAGAGAGAGAGAGAGAGACAGTGTGAGCAGGGGAGGGTCAGAGAGAGAGGGAGACACAGAATCCAAAGACAGGCTCCAGGCTCTGAGCTGTCGGCACAGAGCCTGACTGCAGGGCTCGAACTTTTTAAAATTTATTTCTGAGATAGATAGAGAGAGAGAGAGAGAGACAGTGTGAGCAGGGGAGGGTCAGAGAGAGAGGGAGACACAGAATCCAAAGACAGGCTCCAGGCTCTGAGCTGTCGGCACAGAGCCTGACTGCAGGGCTCGAACCCACGAACCATGAGATCATGACCTGAGCCAAAGTCAGACGCTTAACCCACTGAGCCACCCAGGCGCCCCTCTATTTTTTATTTTAAAGTTTATTTACTTATTTTAAGAGAGAGAATGAGAAAAAGAGCTAGCAGGGGAGGGGCAGAGAGGGAGAGAAAGAATCCCAAACTCGATTTAACAAAACGTGAGATCATGACCTGAGCTGAAATCAAGAGTCGGACGCTTAACCAACTGAGCCACCCAGGCGTCATGGTTTTTAAAATGTAAATATTATAGTGCTATTTGCAGCACTCTTAAGAAATTAATAACAACTCTTTCTGTATTATAAATTCATCCATGTTGCACAAAAATGGTCACTCTTAGGGAGGAGGTATTAGCAAGATTGCTGGATGGGCAGAGCTGACTGGCCTGAGCTGGTATCCAGGCTGTCACGAGTTGGGTAACCTTGGGCAAGTGTCTCAACCTGCTTAGGCCTCAGTTTCCTCATCAGTAAAACACAGCGATGCAGCCTGGCTAACACAAAGATACCAGTGCTTACCACGTGCCTCTGAGTGGAACAGAGGACTGCTTTACGTGGTGACATAGGCAAACAGGCTTCGCAGGTATGACAACACTTATGACCTAAGGATCGGGCTAACAGAGGTGGCAGCCACGTCAACCAATCTATGACAATTACAGGAACGGTGCTCTGGTGACCCATCGAGGAGTCAAATCTTCAGTAACGGAACCTTTACCAACGCTGTTGACATGTGTACAGAAAATCGAACACTTGTATGTTATTAGTTCCGCTCACAGCCAGTAAGAGTGGGAAAGAGAGGCCATGCCTTGCACAACCATAGCACGAACTATGCTGGAAACACGCACAGTCCACGGGCACTGAGGCCATCAAGCAACTGGCCAGCAGGAGTCCTGCAGCTGGAGCTGAGGAGGCCGCCACGGCAGTGCTGGCCACGTACCCCACCTACGCCAAATCACAGATCACGGAGTCGGACATCTGTGTCACAGGCACCTATGTCCAGATACATACTTTTGTTGGCTGATTAGACTGACCGGTTTAGTAACTTTTTTTTACCTTTGGCTTCTAAGAGAATATATAGCAACCACCTATTTAGGAGAAGTTACCTTGATTTTACTCTTATAATCACTGAGTAAGGTCTCCCAACGCAAGAGTAAGAAACAATCATTGGGGCACCTGAGTGGCTCAGTCAGTTCAACGTCCAACTTCAGCTCCAGTCATGATCTTGCAGTTCGTGGGTTCGAGCCCTGTGTCATCTGTGCTGATCGTGTGGCGCTTGCTTGGGATTCTTTCCCTGTCTCTTTGCACCTCTCCCACGTGCACACACACAGGGGCTCTCTCTCAAAACAAATAAAAGTTAAAACATTTTTTTAAATTAAATTAAAAAAAGAAACACTGCCATAAGCCAGCAACTACAGATGCTATTCCCATTAATGGCACCAAGGCATGCGCACTTGTGGCTGGGCATAGCGGACACCACCTTCAACCCTGCCACTGCGAGTGTAAGACTTCTGGCTGCAGCAACTTCACCATTTCATTTCTTGCAGCTTTTCTAAATGCATTGGTCATTAGTTGTGCCATTATTTAAAAACCACAGAAAACATCTCAGCGGGCACAACGTCTCTGAATAGGATGTACTGACTTTTTAATGAAATGATAATAAAAGCAAAATGTATAATCTCCTATCACTGCCTGCCCTCAGTTCTTATTTTGACTTTCCAAGCCACATTGTAAGAATCGTAAGAATACAAACAAAAGGGAAACGAACACAGAAGCACACGGTTGAGCATTCCTGGTGCTTTCAAAAAGTTTGGTGGTCTTCAAAAAGTTAAACATAAAATTACCGTACTACCCAACAATTCCACACTTCTGTGTATATATCCAAGAGAAATGAAAATATGTTCACACAAAAACTTGTACAAGAATGTTCATAGTAGCATTCTTCATAAAAGCCAAAGTGTGAAAACAACCTAAATGTCTGTCAACAGATGAATGGGTAAATAAAACCTGGTCTATCCACGCAATGGAATACTACTCAGCCGAAAAAACGAACGAGAAATGGATTGATATAGGCTACATGTATGAACACTGAAAACATGCTAAGTGAATTAATCCAGTCATGAAAGCTCACGTGTTATATGATGCATTTATATGAAATTTCAAGAATAGGCAAATCCATGGAGACAGAAAGTAGATCTGTGATTGCTAGGGGCTGAGATGTAGTGGGGACTGAGGAGTATCAGCTAATGGGTGAAGGGTTTCTTTTTGGGTGGATCAAAATGTTGTAAAATTGGATGGCGGGGATTACTCGCCCAACGCTGTGAATATACTAAAACCACTGAATTCTATACCTTAAATGGGTAAATTTTATGGTATTTGAATTACATCTCAATAAAATTATTAAAAAAGAATACAAGGGAGACTCAATTAGAGTCCTCAATTATTAACACGTTTCCCCATTTGTTCTCTCTCTCCTCCTCACATGCATGCACAATTTGTGGGTGGAGTATTTAAAATCTAATTATTGCCATACTTTACTCCTAAATACTTCAGTATGTGGATCATTCTCCCACACAGCCAAAATACAAATATCACACTCGGGAAATTGAACATGAATACAAAATTATTTTTTGTATAGTCCATGTCCAAATGTATTTATCAGGAATTACGCACTGTATTTAGTAGTCTTATCTTTGCAGCCTCTTTTAATCTAGAAAAAATTCCTTTTCAGGACATTCACACTTTTGAAGAATCCAGACCCATTGTTTCACAGTGTTCCTTGATTTGGAAATGACGGATTGTTTCCTTATGAACTGATCTAAGTTGAACCTTTTTGGTAGGAACATCACAGAAAAGAGCTTTTGCTTTTCAGTGCCATCAGGCCAGACAGACCCTTTATTATCATGCCAGAACTAAACCTGGGTTAGTGTCACTAGTGGTGACAGTGATGTGATGCTCACCGCTGGCTGTCGCTTGAGTCCTGATGACCTGATTCCTCCATTATAAAGGTAGCTTTTTCCCTTTGACGTTAATAATCTGGGAGGTGACCATTGGAGTCTGTGTAAATACCAAGTTTCCCCAGTTGTGTTGCACTCAAAGAGTTTAGCGTCTATTCATGATCTTTTCTTGGTCTCTGATCCTTTTTGAGACTGCTCTGCATTAAAGTGACCAACCGCTACTCTGTTTTATTCCACAGCGCGAGCTAGCTGTGATTTTAACACTGGCTGCACATTACAGTCAGTGGTATCTCTGGGAGTGGGACCGTGGCAATCATACTTTAAAATTCCCAAGGTGATCGATTCTACTGCAGCGTAGGGCTGAGCTGCAAGAACCTACATCGTCCTCGTTTTGCAAATAAGGCGACGGATTTCTGGGGGAGATTAAGTGACCGGCGAATGGCAGCCACAAGACTTGTTAATGCCATAACTGAGATTTTTTATTTTTTCGTACTTGCATTTTAATATGCCATTCCTTCTGTAGATCAAAGAATAAAGCCGGAGGAATGAGGAACTTTTGTACGGTGTGAAGAGTGGACCGGGGCCTGAAGTGCGTATTTCTGCTTTCAAGGTGAATTCTGCCTTTCGTTCAGCAAGACCCCTGCAGTCACAATTGGAGTGACGGAAGGGGACAGGTGGTCACCGAGCTCCTCCGCCCTCACTGGACGGCTCAAGCTCACGGACCGAGGCCGAGCCGGATGCTCACAGGGCTGGACGGTTAACGCTGCCGCCCGGGCGCCGGCCCCTCCGGCTCGCAGGCCCAGCGGACGCGGTGACGACTCCGCCCGGGGGCCTCCGTAGGGCTGCGGAGCAAGCAGGGGACACACAGCTGGCGGGGACACACCTGGCGGAGCGCTCGGCCCCGCCCAGGCACACCCAGAAGTGCGCGGGGCCCCGCAGACGACGGGACCTGCAGGTTCGCCCGCCCTACTTACCCCGGCGTGATAAACCTTGTTCGCCCTCTTAATCTTAATGTCCAGGGAGGTCCCCATTTCGACTAATCCGCGTCCGGCAGCACTTCCGGCCGCGCGTGACCCGAGTGCAAGGCTAGTCGCCCCGCCCCTCCGACCCAGGCCCCGCCCCTTTACCCTCGCCGCCTGCAGTAGCTTCAGGAGACCTCGCGCGCTACCCGGGATCGACTCCCCCGCCTTCCTTTTTCCGGTGCAGAGGCGGGCCTTAGCGCGGGCAGAGGGGCTGTCACTCTTCACCCCGCCCCTGCCGGGCGTGAGGGGCGGGCCAGGCCGGCCCCACCCTTTCCGTAAAGACGATCTGAACACCGGAAATACCCTCCAAAACGGCTCTCTCCCGGCGTGCCCCGCGGTAGGGGGCGGTGCCGAGGTCGCGTCGCGCGGGCCCTGCCTCTGCGGGGCAAGCGAAGTTCCCGTCAGGCTGTGCGGCTCAGGGGCGCCTCGCTCCGTTGGCCTGAAGGTGGTGATAACTGGGAATCGTGTTCCCTCCCTAGTCTCCCTCCTCTCGTCGTCTCTAGGCCTCCCCCACTCTTTCCTGGGGGTTCTGGAGACTGGCGTCTTCGGGTTGGCGGCGCCGCCTCCCCTGCCCGCCGCCCCGCGCTCCCACCCCGCAGGGCCCGCCCCCGCCGCAGGGCCGGGGGCCAAGGTCTCGGGGAGCACCGGTGACCCCGCCCCGAGCCGCGGCGCCGGGTCCCCGGAGGCCGGCTGGGCGGGGCCGCGGGGGCTTGTGGGTACTCCCCCGGCGCGCGCCCTGTAACCGGGTGCTGAGTGTTCATGTCGGTGCGCAGGGTGCCGGCGGCGCGCGCCGATGAGAACCTCGGAGCCGACGCGGACCTGCCCAGTCCCTTCCTTTTCGTTCCCGGCCGCAGCCGCCCGAACCAGACGCGAGACCTTATATTGGGTTGGGGGGGAGAGGCCTCCAGGCGGGGCAGCGGTACAGTAGGCGTCGTACTGCCTTGACAAATAAAACTCCTTGTAGATGTTTTAAACACGGACTTTGCCAATAAGCGAGCAGGTAGCATTTCGTTATTTTGGCAATGCAGTGAAGAAGTGCTTTTTGTTCTTAAATTCTTGAGTTCTGATGTTTTTTAACGTGCGTTATTTGTAGGGATACATTAGGAATTTTTCCATAAACCGATTTCGCGAATTCGTGTGACCGGTGCCTCCCTCTTGAGAATTTAAGGCAGTTGATAGGACGACGGTGATGGTGCTATGGCTACAATTGCTTTTGAAGGGTGATACAAGGTGGTATTTCCCGAAATTCAGGTCTCTGGTTTCAGCTCCTCTCTGCCCTCGGGGCTTCGGTCTCTCTGTGTTGGGTGTCTTCCAGCAACTCAAACTCCGCAATTCTAAAACAGTTCATCGGGGACTTGATAATCACAGGCTGGTCTATTTGCAATTCAAGAAATGAATCCCTCACTAGACTCACCCATCATTTCCAACTGGTGAAATATAAATCTCCCTAGACAATTCAGGGAAACAGGAAAAGAAACCTCTTACAAACATCCACGTTCTAGACTTGTCTGCTTCTGGAAACCTGCTTTATACTTTCTTATTCCCTGAGGTCGGCGAGGCCATGTTTTACTCGTCTGTAAGTTGCACACAATTTTTATGGAATTCTGGTGCAGAGCAAAGAGCTCTAGTTCCAGCAATTGTCAGTGGAATCCGTTTTGGGGCCCTGTGTGATGGCTTCACGTTTATGAAACAGTCCATTCTTCAACAGCCACTTCTCTTTTGAATCCCTTCTCCATCCCTTAACCACACCTCAGGCCATACTCCTGTCTGGTCAGTTCCAGTTCCTAAAAATCAGACCTTGTCAAAGTGCCCATTTCATGACAAGTGGGAGCCCAGATCCTTAGTTGGGGTTGGGGGTGGGGGAGGTGCAAGCCATGGTTCTGGCTCTCAGACACTTCTTCGGCGACCTCTTCCAGGCCTGGCTGCTTCTGTGGTGAGGCAAGCATCTCTTAACTGGCCATTGCCAATGTTCTCTCTTAATTGACTCCTGCTTGTCTGGATAACTGGCCCTTGTTCAAAACTCCTTTAATGGAGCACATACCAGGCCTTCTCCCTCCCTTACGTGTCCATGGGAGATGTGTCTCAGTATTTTCTTATCACCCCCCTGCCAGCACCCTGTGGAACACCCAGCCTCTTCGTGAGGGTTCAGAGAGGTGGCTCAAGGCCATTTATCTCCCCACAGAGTCCACATGACTCACGAGAAATACACATCCTTGCCACACAAAAGGACTGGACTGGAAGCTGCCCCAAGGCTTCTCTTCTCCACCCTGCCAGTCTCTCTTCTTGCTCCCTCCTGAAATGCAGGCAGGAATAAATCAGCAACAATGTTGACCAGACAGATTTGCTAAGAGTCAATGGAAGACCAGCCTCTCCTTCCAGTAGGCCCCACCAATACCAACGAGCGATTACCTTGCAGCCTCTCCCTCTGTATCACTTCCCACCAGAAACACTGCACTCTCCACAAGGCCGACTGCCTCCTTCTATTCCTTTCTCTCCTTCCCGGTGCAGACTGAGGATTGAGGAACTATTTGGTGGAAGTAGGGCTTGATTGCAGCTCTTTATTAAGCCCTGGGGAAAGTGTCTGCCTCCAATTGTAGGCACCTTTGGTTGGAAGATGGGCCACTATGCTCGTTTGAGCTGTGAGCCTATTGCCCATTCTGGCACCGTAGGAGAGGTCCCACTAAACATCTTTTAGTGGAGGCTGTGATGCTCCATCCAGACCTTTTAGGACTGAAGGACATGTTCCTGAGCTGCTGAGGGTTGCTCTCAAGAGTTGTCAGCTAAAGTCACTCTTTAAAACTTGCCCTTAGCTGAGGAAAACTGCATTGCCCAAAGTCATGGTCCTTTGGGTAGGGGGAAGGAATGGGGGGGGCGGACAGCCCACATGTAATGACTACTCAATTTAGGGTATAAAGACCTCTTCCCCTCAATCAGTTTGGAACAACTCTGAAGGACAAGTCAGTTCCCAAGCTCCCTCTAACCGTTATCTATTTCTGTGTAATAAATTACCTCCAACATTTAGCAGTTTAATACAACAAACATTTTTGAACTCATAGTGTCTGTGAGTCAGGAACTCAGGAGCAACTTCACCGGGTAGTTTTGGCTCAAGGTCTCAGGTGGTCGCAGCCAAGTCCACAGTCCTCTGAAGGCTGGACTGGACTGGAGAATACACTTCCAAGATGGCGCCCTTACGTGGCTATGGCCTGGAGGCCTCAGTTCCTCACCACGTGGGACTCTCCACAGGCTGCTTGAGGGTCCTCACAGCATGGCGGCTAACTTCTCCCGGACCAGGCAGTCCCACAAGAAGAACAGACAGGGAGCTCTTCAGTGCCTTCTGTGGCCTAAGCTCTGAACTCTCACATTTACTTTTCCTTTGTTCATTAGAAGAGAGTCACTAATTCCACCCCACACCCAAGGGAAGGGAAATTTGGCTCCTTTGGAAGGGAGCATCAAAGATTTTGTGGACATATCTTAAAGCACTCTGCTCCCATTGGCTGGGGAGCCTTCCTGTGATTGCATCATATTAAACTTTTCCCTCTGCCCAACCCAACCCTGCTTGCCTCACCCCCCACCCCACCCACAACACACCTGTTGATCTGGAGAATCCTCCCTAATATATTTCCTGGACATTAATCTCCATCTCAGGGCCTGCCCCTTGGCAACCTTGCCTGCAACAATCCTGTCACGCCAACTTCCTGACTGAACCTCTCGGAGCCTCTGTAAAATGATCTCAGTGCTTTCCTTATAAAGTGATTCATAACAACTCACATATATATAAAGGACTTACTGTGGGCCAGGCACTGTTCTAAGCACTTGAAATATTTTAATAAGTACAATTATGACTCATCACTCCCTCACCTTACAAAAGGGAAAAATTAATGGACTCGCCCAAAGTCACGTAGCAGCTGAGTGGCAGCCACCCATTTTGACCCAGAGCTCTGACGCAGTCACCATTCACCATGCTACATATGTGCACATGGCAAATGTTGGACTTAGTGCAGGGGACACAGGGTCTTAATGAAAAGACGAGGCAAAGAACCGCCGATCAAATGTGAGAGTCAAGCAGGAGTTCAACTTCCAGTCAGAGGCGATTTGAGAGAACTTGATGGTGAAGGCACACACTGTAAAGGCCGTGGGAGAATCATCTGGCACATTAGCTTTCTGCCGCTGCCGTCACAAAGTACTGCTGATAGGCAGCTGAGAACAACACATTATTCTCTCTTGTTTGGTCCTGGAGACTGAGGTCTGAAAACAAGATGTCAGCGGAGTGAGTTCCTTCCAATGGCTGTGAGGCAAGGTTCTGCTCCAGGCGTCTCTCCCTGGCTTGCAGATGGTGGTCTTCCTCTGCGGCTCCTTACACTGCATTACCTTTATGTGTCTTCACTGTCACCTGGCATTCTCCCCACATGTGCATCTGTCTCCAAGTGTCCCCCTACCTTTTTGAAAATGTTTTTATTTATTTTTAAGAGACAGAGACAGAGCATGAGCCACAGAGGGACAGAGAGAGATGGAGACACAGACTCCAAAGCAGGCTCCAGACTCTTAGCTGTCAGCACAGAGCCTGATGTTGGGATCGAACTCATGAACCATGAGATCTTGACCTGAGCTGAAGTCGCCTGCTTAACCGACTGAGCCCCCCAGACGCCCCTAAGTATTCCCTTTTTGTAAGAACACAGTCATATTGGAATAGAGCCCAAACTAATGACCTCATTTTGACTTGGTTATCTCTGTAAAGACCCTATTTCCAAATACAATCACGTTCTGAGGTTCTGGGGGTAAGGACTTCACCATGTGAATTTGATAGGGCACAATTCAAATTGTAACATATAACAACAATATAGAAACAAAAATATTTAGACATATAAAGATAAACATACAGTTAGTAGATACAGTTAGAAGATTTAACAAAACACCACCTGTTAGAGATTGAGTGCATAAACAATAAAGGTATAGAGGCTTTCAAAAAAATAATTAAGAGGTACGATGAAATGTAATAGAATCACAGGGGATTCACCTTTTCAAGTGTCTGCATACATTTCAAGTATCTGTAAGCATTGATTGCATACTATACCACAAAGAA